GGGTACTGCAAAAACATTAACAAATAATTAATAAATTATTTAAGACAGGGCTGTCCAAACTTGGTCCTGGAGGGTCGGTGTCCTGAAGAGTTTAGCTCCAACCCCAATTAAACACACCTGAACCAGCTAATCAAGCTCTTACTAGGCATAGAAACTTAAAGGCAGGTGTGTTGAGGCAAGTTGGAGCTAAACTCTGCAGGACCGGGTTTGGACAGCCCTGATTTAAGATGTGCAAATAGGAAGTCTGCACAACAAACCAAGACCAAATATATGACCTTTACAGACTGTGACTTACAGATATATGAATTGAAAGTTTGATGACATTTGTAAGCATTTCAATTTATATTAAATAATGATCTGTTAATCATTTGGTAATGTTTAATAAGTTCATTAGTTAACATTAATTAAATAATGATCTGTTAATCATTTGGTAATGTTTAATAAGTTAATTAGTTAACATTAACAAGCACATTGACTCATATTTCTATATGTGAATATATATTAAGTAATGATTAGCTAAACATTATATAATGTTTGTTAATTATTTATTAATGAAAGTTGTTATAAAGTGTTACCACTGTGATTAAACACACACACACACACACACACATACACACAAAGGTCTAGTTCTCATTCTTTTTTCATTCTTTAACTGTTTTGGGATGATTCTGGGGTGTACATTTTGATTTAACTCTTGAAGTACTTCAAGTCCCTCAACAACATTTCAATTGGTCTGAGATCTGGACTGTGACTCGGTCATTAAAGCCCTCCATTGCATTCTTCTCAATCATTCCTCTTGCATGATTAATGTCATTATCCTGTTGAAATTTCCATTTAAGTTTCAGCAAACTGCTCAACCTTTGACTTTTCTGTCCAGAGCACATTGCTCCAGACATTTAGTCCTCATGCAGATCAGACTAGAGCAGATGGATCTGATATTCAAATGTTCATGTAGGTAAATAAATAAATACAGTTCATTTTAATGACCGTATGCCATAATCTCTGGAAAATGTGTTACTTGAAGTCATTGTGTTGTTTGTGATCCTCTCATCAGCAGCTGCAGTGTCTCTCAGCTGTATCAGTGCAGTCACTGTGACTCTGACTGACGGAGGTTTTTGTACGACTCTTTATCACTGTGTGAACACATATTTACTGTTGATGTAGTGGTAACTCTGACAGTAATAATCTCCTGTATCTTCAGTCTGGACTTCACTGATGGTCAGAGTGAAATCACTGTCAGATCCACTGCCACTGAATCTAGATGGAGTTCCTGACTGCAGTCTGTTAATCAAATAAATCAGGAGTTTAGGAGCTTCTCCAGGTTTCTGCAAGTACCAGTGTAACTCATCACCATCATACACTCTACTGCTGGTTTTACAGTTTATTCTGACTTCTCGTCCTTGAGCTGCTGTTATTGATGGACTCTGAGTTACAGTGATCTGTCCTCTACACTATGAAAGAAAGAACAACAATGAAAATGAATGAAAAACTGTAAAAGTTTATTCTTTTACACTTCAAAGTATGTATAATCTTTGTTAAAATGTTACTACACAAACCTTGAGCAAACAGTGTGAGAGTCCAGATGAGGATGATGATGCTGTTCATTGTTGTTGTTGTGTCTTGTGTGATGATGAAGATTGTGTTGTGTTCTGCTCTCAGTCATGAAGTGTTAAACTCACAGCACTATAAACACTCTCAGAGCATCAGGGGCGTGTCTACATCGTGGGCAGGTGTGGCACCGGCCCCCCTTGAAGTCTGGTTGCCCCCCCCCCACCAGATATCTTGTGATAGGCTTGTTTTTAGTAAAAGTCTAACTGCATCTGGCAGTGGCGGATCCTCGCATGTGTAGGCAGCTGCCTAGGGATGCTTTTTTTCTCTTCTTTATTCTTAATTTTAGGCTGTTTCTATAGCGTGATCGTATTGACAAATGTTGAGAGTGCATAACGTTACCCGATCCATGTAATGCGCGAGCATGAATCTCTCCACTCGCAAACGGATTTCCTTCACTCGCACAAAATTGGACGTGTGCTTTTAAATATACATTGTTCTTTTATGAATTGGCTCTGCTCTCGCTCAGATATTGTGTGTACACTCAAACATTGTCCTCGCATCACTGAAGCGAAAAGCTTTTTTTTTCTAATACAGGTGAAGAGAATGCTTTTCTCACTAAATGGAAACAAGCTGATTATAGTCAGCCTTCTCTAGTAATTAATTTGGTTATTTAATACTTATTTTAGTTAAGTGCTTAAATTGTAAATATGCATTTATTAAATTATTTTATTTAGTGCATTTGTATTTTGTTGTTTTTTGTATAT